TGTGTGTGTGTGTGTGTGTCAGATTGAAATTGAATACAAGGCCTACACATTATTAAGTTCATTTTTATGAAAACAACCTTAAGAAAAGCAGGAAGCTGATTTTGGTTTTAGAGAGATTAATAGAGAATAGGAATAGCACCTGGCAATAACTCCTCAACGTAACACATGATTTGTATATCTCATGCTCCATGGATAAACCCACTGGAAGGTTTAGCCAACCTCTTGTGCATGTCCAATCAATGACATCATGCTTTGCAACTTGCACAGCATTGCTGATGGTGTTGATGAGTACACCTTGCAAGGGATCGAGCCTATCATAGCAGGTATCGCACACTCGTTGTGGATTCCTCTCTCTGAACTTAACAGGTAATAGGCATCTCCCCTTTGAACATGCCCTACAAAAAACCCCTCCACAAAACCTACAATGATGTCTGCCACGAGTAAGGGCTGTGAAGGGAGCAGTGCACTGCATGCAAGCTGCCGTACAACTGTCGGGAAGCCATTCTGGGGGTTCAGCTTCCAAGACCTCTTTGTAAGCACTATAGTTAATCCCATTCGGCTCAAGAAGTGGCGGAGCACTAGGTATGTAAACTGAGGAATGCAAGAAAGTATCCCCATTCTTTGCAGACCCAAGAAAGGAAACATTTGAACCGGAAAATTGCTGACCTCCACTGGAACTTAAATCTTTATTACGTCCAGTCAAAATGGCAATTATCCCAGTCAACACATTTTTTAAATTCACTTCAGGAGTCGTATTTTTTTGCACATAATTAGAAGGATCCTCACTTGAATCATATCCTTCATCAAGAAAATCCTCAGATTCAAGGGGATACTTGAGGGGAAACTCTTGCCTCACGGATATCGGGGCTGATGTACAGGCACTCTGACCTTCAGACACAGCCCAGACAGAATCACTGTAGTCATCATTGTAGTGAAATTTTCTATTTTCTCTTTCTAGATTGGCAATTGAAGCGAATGAAGCTCTTCCTTCAGAAGTTGCCATGAATTATACTGCATGCAACCAATGACATGAAATCAAGACAAAATTACACTGCATTATAAAACAATGACCAACTCATTAATAAAACTTCAAAAAATTCAAAGGACACCATTTGAGGTATCAATTTGTCCTACGGTTCTCATTTAAATGGTGCAGTAACATTCTGCTTTAAACAAAACTTGATCAACATATAGCATTTTTAAAAGAGAAAACTTGGATAGTTTGGGCAGGGTTTACTGAAAGACTATTACAGCACTAGCGAGGAAGAGTGTTGCTACACCAATCAATGGTAATGTAAGAAGTAGAGGTAAACTAAAATTTTCTTTGAATGAGATAGTAAAATGGTCTGAATTATATTAAAATATGGCATTTGATAGAGTATAATAGCATAACAAATTTCATGCAGCGGACTCCAAATGGTTGGGACAAGGCTCAATTGAGTTGAAGTCGGGGAGACGCTGGGGAAAGTATGGTGCATGGATATTTCCATAAATATGAACAGACATACTTAATCCTGATGATGGATGACTGTCTTTATAAAATAAGTGGTTGAGCTTGCATACACCTAGAAGGAAGAACCTAATTGAAATGAAAATCAAGTATCAACAAAATAGTCAACTAGTATCTCAGTTCTGCCCTTTGGAATATTAGTATGAAAAATTGACAAAATTGACAAATATTCCAATCGGCTGAACTGAGATAGACTTAAAAGTAATCATAATGAAATGCAATGACATGTTTAAGTTCCTTGATCCACTATGAGAAAATAAAAATAACTCCTTACATGATTCTCGCAATTATTCCGGACCATTGTTTCTTCAAGTAGGGAAATACAGGGCCAATTAGAAGTGGAACCCATAAGTACCTCAAGTAAATCAGTTGTAGCCAATTACAGACCACTGGTCAAGCCTAAAAGAATATTCTAGGTGGACAAGATTCAAGACATTGGTGGCTAGCTGACTATACAAAACAGGTGAGAGCTAGATGGTGCCTTAAGTAAATTAGTGATACTTAATTACAGATCAGTGATCAGTAAGAAGTAACAAATTTTTAAAAGCTTCAAGCTCAGAAGAAGAATTCTTGGGGCAAGATTCAAGACATTGGTGGCTAGCTGGCTACACAAAACTGGTGAAAAAAGATTAAGTTATATTATCATAGAATCCCACACAGGTTAAAAGCAGATAAATTCATATACACAATGGGGCAGGCTCACCTGATAAGAATTGATATCCAGACTCCAGAGCGTTTGACATACATATACTACATGTACCAAAAACGAAAGGATACTACAATTACCACATTCAATGAACACGACCACATGTATTTTCTAATCTAAAAGAAAAAAAAAAAACGAAAAGCAAAGTCCTGAAAAAAAACTAAGGAAATAAAGAGAAAGAATCGGACAGAAGCAACAAACGATATATCAATGAACGCATACAATGAAATATGAAAACACATTAAATCTTATGAAGTCTCCTTGAACTATCATCATCAAAAACATGTATTGAATTGATGACGCAGTTGAATGCTTCTTAGGATTTCGACCATTAAGTTCAGATAGGGTTATCTCCACACAGGCACGCACGACATAAGAATAGTTAAACTGAAAAACAAGCTCAAAACTATAAAATCGAGAGTAAATGAAAGATTAGCAGATAGCTGAATTGCCACTTTTACCAGTTTCGAATTGCCGAATTTGTCAGACAAAACTCTGGTTTTCGTTTTTCGCGTTATTCACCGAAGAAGACGTAAGAACGATTCCTTATACAGACAGATAGCTCCACGTTTAGCGGGTTAGATTTAGCTATTTGACCCAATTTCGAAGAAACGCCTAGACATACGAATTGACAACTACTCCATTGATATTTATAATAAAAAGAAATATCTGAACATTTATTTTTTTATTTTTAATATGGTACGGTATCTATACTATCAAATCCTATTCCTTCCTTTTAGATATGACAAATAAAAACTTACCAAGATTTAACTCTTCAGAAAGTTTTAAATTTCAAGAATATTTCTTTAAAAATTCATTAGTAATTGTTATATAAATATAAATTATTTGCCATTTTTTCTCTTCTCTTTGACCACATCTATCTTGCATAAGAGTGTGCCATCTCACAAATGATCACATTGAACTTCATAATGTCCCTGATCAAAAAAAAAAAAAAAAAATTCATAATGTCATCGAAACAATGTTTTTAGCCACACAGCCTATCAATCTTTTATCCTTTCTCTCCGCATTTCATCCTTTCAGGACCTCAATCTTAGCTTTTGTCAGCAAAACCTTGTCATGAGATCTCCACAAGTAAAACCCCCTGAACATGGAAATAATATTCAATTTAATGGTGTACCACGTAGATGATAATCACCAGGTACCTGTTTGCGATTTGAGCTTCCCAAACAACAGCAACAACAAAACCCGAAAAAAACGAAAGCACAGAGCAGAGATGGCACATGTGCCCCCATTTCCGTTTCACAGATCTTGCTAAACACACGAGCACAAGCATATCCTTTTGTTTTCTAAGGTTTTTCGAGAGTAAAAAATTTCCTCTTTGCAGGAAGTAAAACATTATTGTAAGGGGCTGTAGCAAACAAATTAAATAAATTTTAGGCAGAAGCCCCTTCTTTCTTTAATTACACCGAGAAAAACGGAGGAAATGGGGTCAGGGAGGAAATAAGAACGCCAAACACTGCCACACATGGACCTCAAATATCTCTAAACAGCCTTTGAGCGGGACGCACCCATGTTAGTACCGTAACAAAGAAGATCATAGACTTTTCATGATGTTTCCGGCAAGTGATATAGATAAAAGACTTTGACATTAATTCCACTTCAAAATATAGAACATCACCAACTTGTAACATACAGGATGGAAAATTCCCGATAAAATGAAACACATGATAACGTCAACAAACTTCCCAATCTTCATATTCGAAGTTTCTTTCCAGGATGTGAATCATCATCATACTGACCGCCATCATCATCTATGTCCCCCTTCTCCATCTTCTTCCTGGCAAGTATCTTGTTAATCTTGTGCAGCTCATTAGTAAGCTTCTGGTCTTTGTTTTGCTTTCGTGTCTTCCGACCATCTTGCATCTTCACACCAAACTGGAAGGCAGCTTTTGGCATTGCTTCCTTCTGCTCATTGTATGTTGCCCATTCCTCTTCTGTTTCGAAGTCCCACCGATGAAGGCGACCCTTTGCCTGTTGAGGCATTTGTATATGTTAGTACAAAAATATTATTCCCACCAGAAAAAAGAACTGTATGACATCCATTTAAATAACAGTTGCCGCAACGGTTGTATGAATCTATAGCTTGTCATCCTATTTAGAATTGTTCCAAAAAGGAATAACAAAATAGAAAAACTGAAAATAGAATGGGTGGGGAATCATTTTCATAGAATCATCAAGTACTTACCAAACCTTATCCCCACTACCTAAGTCAGCTATGGAAAAATTTGTTTCACCAGTAAGGACCAGAGGAAAGACACTTACCCGTCCACCCATATCCATTTTTGACAAATCATTTTCGTCGTCACTGTCCACAATCTCACGGTTATACTCTTGGTAACCAGGATAGCATTCAGAATAACTCTCAGATATAAAATTGGGATCCTTTTCCCGAGAATCTTTCTCCCTTAGTTGCTGAAGCCTCTGATCATCCCGCTTGAACACTGACCCCAAACCCCGATCCTTCTCTTCTTGAGTCATGAAACGTGCGTCCTGTGGAATGTTCAAATCTGCTTGTACCTCGTAAGTCTGAAGGTTTTGCTGGAGGTATTGCTCAGGATAAGCTAGTTGGTCAGCATATTGATAGTCCTGCCACTCTCCCTGATACCCACCAGCCAGTGATTGTATATGCAGAGCATCATATCCATTCTGAAAAAGTCAAAGAAAACACCAAATTAGAAGTATGAATAGTTTCCAAGTCAAACAAAAAAGGGCATGTTACATGTCATAAAGAATTTTTTCTTCCAGAGAAGTATAATCAAAGAATTTTTTGTTTTCAAAAATATGAGACCATTTCTCGACAATTTTCAAATTAACTCACCATTTGTTGCCAATCATGAGAAGGCTCAGATGGTGGGACCGGACCATAAGCAGGTTCATTAAAGTAGGAGGTCCTTTCCTTATTTCGAGGAGATTCTTCCATGTCTTCCGAAATAGGACTTTGGTTCATATCTGCACTGGGAATAGCGTAGTCAACGCCATCCCCCACAAAGATATCATCCTCTTCAACTCTAGCAAGAACAGGGGCCCGTTTCTCTCTTGAATTAGGATGATTTTTCTTGAGTGGTGGTGGAGGCGGTGGGAGTGTTTCTCTATCAGTTTGGTTCTTCGACACATCAGGTTTTGACACCTTCTCATCTTCATCATATACATTGGGAACATCAGTTAACTTTCCTGTATGATTAAATATGTAATTTGCATTACACAAATGAAACTGGAGATAGCAAGGGTGACAAACAGATAAACCTAAATCAGGAGGAAAAAAATAAAAGAAACACCTTGATTACAAAAACAACTTAAAATTAACTGAATGGAAACACACATACGGAACATCAAAAACATCAACGGTGCAACTGCAGTGTAATGCTGGAGTCCTGCCCCTAAGATCACCACATCATTGGATTAAATTCTGAACTCATGTCAGCATTGCATTATAATTCATCCCAGGTACCAAGCAAAATCTGACATTAGTCCTTTTGAGTACATTACCTTTTTTTCAAAAAGTATACTATGGGTTGTCCCAGTTGGAAAAAGATCGCCTTTACTGGATCAAGACCTGGGTTTTACTACCTGGGACAACGCATGGCATATTTTTCAGCACAGCACTTTACAATGGGGAAAAACAATCTACTCATCTCTGAATTTCCCATTTGGGTAGGATTTAATGAACAACAGTTGCGAAACACACATGTATTGTGCTGAACCAAGGTGTTTTATCCCAAATACCTGTTCCAACACAGCACCAAATGGTATGCCATTGTGGGCACTATAGTACAAGGGAGCTGAGACGCTTTTCAAAGTTCTAACAGATCCAAATAGCTTATACCAGTACCACATGTGCACTTAATTTATCCCCAATTCTGAACCACAAAAAAAAAACCAACGGCAGAAAATAATGCACAACAAAAGCAATTCTAGAAAGAAAATGGATAATTTAGATACCTCTCCCATCTTTTTCTTTCTTCTTTTTTTTGAGAACCTTCCCAGATGATCCAAGGCGAAGATATGACATAATTTTGGCAATTCGATCTAGAACAGAACCATCAACACTGACAGTGACCATTTCCTGTCCCATAAACAAGGATAGTAAATCATATAACAGTATAACACCAAGGAAGACAAAATTAGAAGAATAAAAGAGTGAGAAAAAACCTCAGGAACTGGGCAGTCAGCTTTACTTCGGTGCAGAGTGGTAGGGATGTCGTGGGAAAACCCACCCTCCTGGCATGCATAATGTAGAACTTTTGTTAGACAAATTTCCTAAAGTGCTGCCTGAAAAGAATCTTACAGTTCAGGATGGATTTTCAAACAGTAGAGATAGTAACAAACCAAAATCACAGCACAGACCCCAGACATCCAGACTAGATATTTGTAATCATATATGCACAAACAATTATGAACCCAGGTTTTAGACACCCTTGCATGATAACAATTGAGATATAACAACCAAAAAAAAAAAATGAATGCTCAAACAACAAAATAAAAAAAGGGTGGGAAAAAGGGGGCCTATAGTTTATCTGATGCTGCATTCCTTAGCCACATGGAAGGGATGCATGCCTACTTGGCAACAATTAGGCAGCACTAAAATCTACTCGTAAACTACAAATTAAACAGAATTACAACAAAAAAAAAAATGGTGCAGTGCCTCTGCTTCTAAGGGTCTTACCACACCAAGTGGTTTTTTGCAGACTGGAAAATCATATAACAAGATTCGATCTTTGGAAGAGTTGTTAGAGGAAGGGAAGGAGAAAGCAAAGTGCGAGTGAAGAAGAACCCGATAGTCAAGAAATTCCATTAGGGATATAAACACAGAGAAACAAAGAAACTTACCATGTTAAAGATGAAAGCCATCCGCCCAGGAAGGAACATTTCATTTGTCTTCATAACAGTTTGGGGCTTGACGATCCATTGATACACTGACTGAAACACAAAAGGTGGTATCATTAACAAAAAAGGTAAACCTTTTAACCAACAAAGGACACTAATGGATAGCTATAGATATACCTTTGCAGTTGCAGTGCGAAATGACACTGGTTGATCTTCCTTAGATGGTCTGTGAGGAAAAAATGTGTCATTGCAAACAATTCACGAAAACTGAAACTACACAAATCAAATCATGATTGAAAAGGGAATCCGTAATGAAAATAAGCGCATTCTAACTACTAGCCCAATTAATTGAGGTAGTATAAGGGGAGAAAGCACCATCATTTGCAGCATTCCTCTAGTTCTACCCAAAATCTGCCTCACAAAATGCGAAAAGATAGAAGTTCCATGATTTCAACAAAATAATCATTTACAGAAGTCTGGGATTTATTTTCGGTGTTCCACCAAACCAAGTATTATGTAGACGGCTGTGCACATTCGCTTTAAAGGAAGTCGTCGTAAAAATGCAATTAAATGGGATAGCAATAGGGAAGTGAACATTATTCCCCAAACAATTCTAATTTTTCAGAAGAAGATATTCTTCATGTTCAACTCTGTCTAGTTCTTCAGCTTGGTCCACTATATAGGTCCTATGGCTAAATATCTAGCAAAGAGCCAAAGTACATCCTGGTTTAACTTATTTAGTCTCAAACACCCCCTTCCCTGGGGCAGGGGTGCAGGTCCCCTACTCTCTCTCAGTATCTTTAAGGAGCTTATTGGGTTTCCAAACCATATGCCTCCTCACAATATATTAGCATTTTTTTCCTCCTAGGTGGAGTTTTATTTCCCATAACAATTTAACTTAGAAAGAAAAAGTATCAGAAGATTTTAGAAAATTCAACAATACATATGCAAAAGAAACCATTTTAACAAAACATCCGATCACAAAATCCGAAGGCTTGTAACAATCTAACTTAGAAAGAAAAAGCATCACGACATTTCAGAAAATTCAACCAGACAAAAGCAAAAGATAACCATTTTAAACTAAACATTAGTGAACTACAAAATAACACACAAAGCTTAAAGAGAAGGTCCCCCTAGTATTAAATGGTAACAATTCACTTGCCTAGACTTTCCATCAGCATCTTCTCCAACATCTGGCTTCTTGTCTATTTCACTTCTCACTTTGTGAAGCAAAGCATAATCCAGGCCCTTAACCAAATGTGTGTGTTCAACATCACCTGAATTACAAAAATCAAGCCAAAAACCAAGGAGAAGGTTTAGAGCTTAATGGAGAGAAACACCCACTAATTATTATTTCCATTTCTCGGTCAAATATCAAAAGCTATGAAAAGCATGGATATGTCATTTCGGTTGAACTATCTGCATTCCGATATAATCCTTGTCAGTTATTCGAGAAGATGCATTGGATACGCAATGTACTTATCCAATAATTGATAAAAAAAAATTCTTTACTTTCGAATTCGTCATGGATATTAGCATCCAAGAATATGCTTCGGATATGGAAGTGAATATGTAGAGCAATATGCATAATTCATAATTTTAATCACATAATGATACCAAAAAAAAAAAATCCATGTCTTTGAAGAAATGTATTTATTTCTAAGTATTATATACTACCACATGTTAAAAAGACATGTGGGTTGATTACATCCTTTCTTTTAGCAACTACTATTTCTAAGCAAATAAGCCAATTAAATGTTGGTTCTGTAGAAAATTCATCAGAAAATAGTAAATTTCAAAAATCAAAGTATTATATGTGTATACTGGCTATACTTGTATTCTATTTTTCGTAAATTTTGTCGTATTTTGTGTTCATATCATATTGTATCCATATCTCATGTCTATATTTGTGTATAGGGATCACAACAATCAACATTCTAAGCAATAGCAGGTTTCATTAACATTGGAAAGTCAGTAATAGAATATATGTAATGCAATTTTACTAATAGAAAAAATAGACATAGTGAAAAAGTTAAGATTGAAAATCAAGATATTCTAACGAGTAAACGACTTATATATCTACAATCAATATTAAAAATGATGGAGAAATTGGAGCTGATGTAACTCATACAATCAACGTCGGTTGGCTTAAGTGGATGAAAGACTATAGTATATTATGTGATAGAAGGATACCAATAAGATTAAAAGGTAAGTTTTATCGAACAGCTATAAGGACAACAATATTGTATGGAATAGAATGTTAGGCAATTAAAAAACAACATAGTGACAAAATGAGTGTAACAAAAATAATAATTTTAAGATGGATGTATAGAAAAATTAGAAATGATAGAATACGAAAAGACCGTAGTAAAGAAATGGTATAAGTAGCTCAAATTGATAATAAATTAAGAGAGAATAGATTAACATAGTGTAGTCATATTCAACATAGGCCGATAGGGCACCGGTTCAAAAAAGTGATAAAATTTTTCTTAATGGTACTAGAAGTAGGGGTAGAACTAAATTAACATTGAACGAATAACAAGAAAATATATGAAAATATTTAATTTAAATAAACGTATAGAGCATGAATGGCAAAGACGGACTCATATAACTGACCCCAAATGATTGGAACATAAGGCTTAATTTGATTTAGTTTTGATGTCTAATGTTATTTTTTGCTATCTCTTTGCTCTAAAAAAGGTCTCTCATCCTTCTATTTAAAATATATTTTTTGATAGAAGAAGATGCATATAACAGCATTGTTGGCCGAGTGGCATATTTTCTAGTCATGCTTAACCCATTCAAGGTATCTCTATCAATTTTCACAAGTCAATGGGTATATGGAGGACTATTTTCGTTCTGTCTACTGTATTTCCCACAAATGCTGCCATTTCGTGATGTGAATAAATACTATAATGGAGAAAAAAAAAATATAGAAATAGTTAAACGAGAAAAAGAAACATAATGAGATGAGTGCACAACACATGTCCCCCTTCTAATTTATATAATGTTTATATTTCACAGGCTTTTCCCCTTTTGTAATTCTTGCACAATTCTAATACATGTGTTCAGTAATAACATTTTTTACTATTTATTTTCTAAGAAATTAAATGAACAAGAACAACTTGAGGAGATGCTGAAGATCCCTACGAAGTCTTAGATACTTAAAATTTTCAGCAAATGCTCCATTAGGCGCATGCAACAACTATAATGACAAATGCTTTATTTTACGAGACAAAGGCACAATTAAATAATAGACCAGACCATCAACGGCTCCTAAAAATTATAAACTAAGTAGCAAAGTTCCTTACAAACAAAATAATAAATGTTTGATTGTCAGAACACATACCTCCAAGGTATTTGCTCTTCTCGATGGATATCTTGTGTGCATCAGCAGAACTACAGAAATCAACTCAAATTCAGATTTGACAGATACAAATTTGATACATCTACTCATGAATTGACAACTACAAATTTGATAAATCTACTCATGAATTGACAACAAGTAGACCAAATTATAAAAAAAAAAGAGAGAAAAGAAAAGAATGGGGGTGTATCTCACCGGAGATCAACTGTCCCTGGAGGAGCAACGGCATGAAAAGAGCCCAACTCAGTGGCTTCGTAATCGGGATTCTGATCTTCTCTACGCTCCTTGGCTCGGTCTCTATATTGTGGTTGTTCTGGTTCTTCTGGCTTTTCCTCTCTGCACAAAAATGCCTCACTCCCAATCACTAACTACCCATGCAATTTTCATATCACAAAATAAAACTAATAATCGCCATGCAGCAAATTCAATTAGTCTAAACAATAACAACATAGAATGTTGCTCGTTATATATCACGAAATCAAAATCCATCACCAACAAAAAAAACGAGATCAACAATTCCAAACAGAAAATTGTGATTTCTGACTTTGCGAAGAAAATATGAAAAACAACAAAAAAGAAAAATAGAATAAGCTAAGGATCAAACGAATAGAACAAAATAAAATTACACATAGTGGAATAGTACATACTTTCGACGAATTATCTTCTCTTTGTGATTTCTCTTGGACGATGCCATTGAAGAAATATATGAAGATAAACACCAATAAATTGAATGCTAGGGGGTTCGAACTTGGGGAGATTTGTCTTCGTGGTTAGGTTGGGGCTTTCACTGGTACGGACACAGAGACAAGGGGCTATGTCATGTTGAAGAACGAACGCGGAGGAGGAGGAGGATGAGGTTGTTTTGTTTTGTGACCTGCTCTGCTCTGCTAAAATATCTGAAAGAACTGGGCGAAGTTTATGAATCCAGCTCGATACAAGAAGGGGTTAGACCTAATTAAGGGGCCTTTTAGCCCATTTTATAAAAGCCCAATGCTTAATCCGATGGCCTCGGCCCAGCTGGACCATGGCAGATAGTCCCCCTTCCCATGAATATGACGAGAGGGAGCTATTTAACGTAGGGTACAACTTGGATAAGTTGGGCTAGTTTGAGAAGTTAACNTTGACCATGGCAGATAGTCCCCCTTCCCATGAATATGACGAGAGGGAGCTATTTAACGTAGGGTACAACTTGGATAAGTTGGGCTAGTTTGAGAAGTTAACTTTAANAAATTTGATAAATCTACTCATGAATTGACAACAAGTAGACCAAATTATAAAAAAAAAAGAGAGAAAAGAAAAGAATGGGGGTGTATCTCACCGGAGATCAACTGTCCCTGGAGGAGCAACGGCATGAAAAGAGCCCAACTCAGTGGCTTCGTAATCGGGATTCTGATCTTCTCTACGCTCCTTGGCTCGGTCTCTATATTGTGGTTGTTCTGGTTCTTCTGGCTTTTCCTCTCTGCACAAAAATGCCTCACTCCCAATCACTAACTACCCATGCAATTTTCATATCACAAAATAAAACTAATAATCGCCATGCAGCAAATTCAATTAGTCTAAACAATAACAACATAGAATGTTGCTCGTTATATATCACGAAATCAAAATCCATCACCAACAAAAAAAACGAGATCAACAATTCCAAACAGAAAATTGTGATTTCTGACTTTGCGAAGAAAATATGAAAAACAACAAAAAAGAAAAATAGAATAAGCTAAGGATCAAACGAATAGAACAAAAGAAAATTACACATAGTGGAATAGTACATACTTTCGACGAATTATCTTCTCTTTGTGATTTCTCTTGGACGATGCCATTGAAGAAATATATGAAGATAAACACCAATAAATTGAATGCTAGGGGGTTCGAACTTGGGGAGATTTGTCTTCGTGGTTAGGTTGGGGCTTTCACTGGTACGGACACAGAGACAAGGGGCTATGTCATGTTGAAGAACGAACGCGGAGGAGGAGGAGGATGAGGTTGTTTTGTTTTGTGACCTGCTCTGCTCTGCTAAAATATCTGAAAGAACTGGGCGAAGTTTATGAATCCAGCTCGATACAAGAAGGGGTTAGACCTAATTAAGGGGCCTTTTAGCCCATTTTATAAAAGCCCAATGCTTAATCCGATGGCCTCGGCCCAGCTTGACCATGGCAGATAGTCCCCCTTCCCATGAATATGACGAGAGGGAGCTATTTAACGTAGGGTACAACTTGGATAAGTTGGGCTAGTTTGAGAAGTTAACTTTAATTTAATCTTAAGTATAAATTTTTAATTTTAACCCTAAGTCTAACTCGATCTCACTTCAAGGTGTTCAATTCAAGTATTACTTAAGTTGAATTTAGACAAGCTCAGATTGAATTTGAGTTTGAATTTGAAATGGATTTATTTAAACCCGAAATTAACATGTTTGTTGTAAATCTGATATATACTATATAATATTCACCTAAAATAACAATCAACAATTTTAATTATATATTTATTATAAAGACCATAGTATTTTATAGCAAGAAAAATCACAAAAACCAAATTATCATTTTCTTAAGGTAAAGACATAAGAGCTAAATTAAGATAAAGGCATAATAGCTAAATTAACATAATAGTCATAATAGCAAAATTAATTTAAAAAAAAAACATACTGAACTCAATGTTTAATTATAATATTTGAGTTGAGTCCGATTTAATATTCGAATTGAACACGAATATATAATTGGGTTAAACTCAATGACCCGAGACCTCTAACCTAATTAATATCCAAATTCAATTGAAATTAATATATTTCAACTCAAACTCAACTTAAATATTAAAATCCTCGGCTCAAACTCTTTTTTCGGTTCCGATCGGACCGCCCAAATTACACCCCTAAAAAAAAAACATCTTTGACGGAGTCTCTGATGCTGATAATTACAAGAACGGAATAAAGCAACAAAAATTATATTATTAAGAAGAACAGAGTGATAAAGACAAGCTCTAGTCCCTGGTAACTCTTTACAGTTTTTTGGCGAATTCAACAAGAATTTTCTTGTGATGTCGAATCATCATCGCTTAGCCTCCAGTATTAAATACCATGGATCGTTGGATCAGTAGTTGTATACATAATATAAGATAATATATAAGGAGTAGTTTCAAGGTACAGAAAGGTAGCAGCAGCATTATTCTTGAAAATGGAGAGGAGACTAATAATGTCTGACTTTGGCTTCTTGCTGGCCTATGTGACTCTGTTACTCTCAGTCAGTCTCGAGGCATCTGGTGGTCCCTCGGAGATCAAGACCGGCACCGCTTTTTTCATCTTCGGCGACTCCTCCGTGGACTCTGGCAACAACAACTACATCGACACCATCCCTGAGAACCGGGGAAATTACAAGCCTTACGCCCAGAATGGCTTCTTTAAAGAACCCACTGGACGCTTCTCTGATGGCCGCATCATAGTTGATTATATAGGTAGGTAATCACAACATACATATAATTAATTAATTATTCAACTATCTAGTAATGAATGTCTTGGAAAGAGATTACGATTATCTAATTTCTTGACAACTTAACTTTCGATTTTGGCTGTTGACTTTGGGATCGATCACATATTCATAACTTGACGGATGGTATATATGGTGGTGAATGGTGATCCATCCAGCCGAATATGCCAACTTGCCACTAATTCCTCCATTTTTACAACCGTCTGCTGAATACGTGAATGGAGTCAACTTTGCCTCTGGAGGGGCTGGAGTTCTTTCTACCACCAATCAGGGCCAGGTAAGGAATTCCTTCCATCACTAACCATTTACACACTTCAACAATANACTTTGCCTCTGGAGGGGCTGGAATTCTTTCTACCACCAATCAAGGCCAGGTAAGGAATTCCTTCCATCACTAACCATTTACACAGTTCAACAATATGTACAAATCAACACGATTGTTAGACCCAAAATCAATTGTCAATCAGGGTGTGCCGTTCAAATATATAAACCAACTTCGTCATCCGTCTACTAAAATTTTCTACTCAACTTGTGAATTTTCCGCTGTTGTTAGGCCATTGATCTTAAGACACAACTCAAACACTTTGAAGAGGTGCAAAATTCACTAACAAAGAATTTGGGAGATGCAGAAACAAAGGAGCTTCTATCGGAAGCAGTTTATTTCATTAGCATTGGAAGTAATGATTATATGGGTGGTTATCTTGGTAATCCAAGAATGCAGGAACAGCATCCTCCCGAAGAATATGTTGGGATGATCATTGGGAGGTTGACACAAGCAATCCAAGTAAGCTTACACCTTTTGCCTTTTTTCTATATGTTCCTTGTAATTGAAACTAGTTTAAGGTTTGATTGGAATGTTGATCTTGCGATGCCTGGTTACTGACTCATTTTTGCTTGTAATGACTCAAGGAATTGCACGAGAAAGGCGGTAGAAAGTTTGGTTTCCTAAGCTTGCCACCACTGGGTTGCTTACCAGCCCTTAGAGCCCTCAACACCAAATCTAATGAAGGCAGTTGTTTTGAAGAGGCTTCTACTCTCGCGTTGGTACATAATAATGCTTTGAAAGCTGTCCTAACAAGAATTGAACATCTATTCATGGGTTTCAAATACAGCAATTCCTATTTTTACAATTGGCTTGACGACAGAATCAATAATCCCACCAAATATGGTATGTGTACTGCAAACCCCCAATATTCCACAATGTTCAGCATCCTATAGGCAATCATAAGCATCTGATTTACTCTTCTGACACCTGAAAAATAACATAGAGGAGATAAAAATATTGAGATCTGATTGCTGCATTGATTCCCAAAAAAATGTTACTCACGTTCATCTAATGTCAACATTAGAAATGGTTACTTACCCAAAAAAAATATTAGGAATGGTTAGTCAACTGTAGGTCATAGCATATATTATCTTTCACACCCAATCAGAAATAGTCACAAATTACAATATAGAGATCAAATAAGATTGGGTTTGTAGTTAGTGATCAG